AAAAAATAATGCATTTTTTAAGCTTAAAGCAGTTTCCATTTTTCACCATCCATTTTCTTGAATTTGTCTGTGTGTGTGTGTGTGTGTGTGTTTTTTTAATAAACTGAACATAAGCTAGGCAGAATGGTAGACAGAATTTCAAAGGAGCAATTGAAAACCAGTGATTTTCTAAGTTGATGATAGTATGTTCTTAATTTTGCTTTCAAAACCATATTGGGGGGGGGCATTTACCCTTCCTGTCCCCCCCCCAAGGGCAAATAAGATATGGCCCAATCAGCCTTAAAGACTGTGTGAAGAGTATGCATAATAGAACAACCAGATATATAAATAGAATAATACAAAGAAATGTAATCTGCTACCAAAGCTGTAATTCAATCCTTTCCCAACACAACTGCAGACAAAACTGGGTTATGAATAAGCTTTACAGTCCATAGACTGGACTCTACAACCGTAACTGGGTGTAAAACCATAGAATGATTGTTGTCAGCTAATAAGGCAGAAAAATAAAGAAACTTAATGACTGTGTCAGAAAGAGGAAATATTAGTAAATACTAATTTAGGATTAAGGGTACAGCAAAGAAGCCTGCTCTACACCTCCTTCCGTTGTCCTGCAAAGCTGATAATCTTTTCTTAGGCACATTCCCTTTATTCTTCTTTTTCTCCTTTTAAAGGCAGGGCATACAAATGCAGGAACAGGAGGAAGACAATTAATTGCAGGAATGTTTCCCTTTTATTATTTTGGCCACTTCTCTTCCTATCAAACCAAGAGGACAAAGAAAAGCTAAGACAGGTTTAACTTTCGTGGAAGATATTGAAATATGCTGGAGTGCCAGTTATAGATTTTGAGGGGGGTCCTGTGAGGGCCAGACCACCCCCTCAGAATGTATCAGCGGTGGAATATAAAAATGTTTACTACCAGTTCTGTGGGTGTGGCTTGGTGGCCATGGCATGGCTTGGTGGGCGTGGCTTGGTGGGCATGGCAAGGGAAGGATACTGTAAAATCTCCATTCCCACCCCACTCCAGGGGAAGGTTACTGAAATCCCCATTCCCTCCTGATCAGCTGGGACTCGGGTGGCAGAGAATAGATGAGGGCCGGATCAGTCAGAGGTGGTATTTACCTGTTCTCCGAACTACTCAAAATTTCCACTACTGGTTCTCCAGAAACGGTCAACACCTGCTGAATACCATCTCTGGAACGTATCCTCCTTCTTGATCATCTTCACTTCTGCTTCCGCTGCTCATTCTCACAGACATATTGATACAACCATATAGTGGGAGAAACCAAGACAAATCAAGTTGCTGCTTTAGCTCCAAGTTCTCAGAATCAGCTATGGGCTCTTATAAAACTCCCGCTAAGAAGGAAAATAAGATGGCTTCATATTTGTTTGCCTACTTGAATATTTCTTCTATCTGATTTTCTTGCTTCTTAATCTTGTATCAATACATTATTGATAATCTTGTATCAATACCCTATGGGAAAATAATGTCTATTGTGTTTGGTATATGGCTGTACAAAAACTGCTTTGTAATGTCAAGCTTTTCTCCCCTGAGAAAGAGGTTACAGTTTTTCTATCTCGAGCATTTCTTGAGCATTTATTTCCCATCTTTCATTTTTATATTATTTAACTTCCTTTATTGCTCTAGTAGGGACGTGGTGGTTCAGTGACTAAGACGCTGAGCTTGTCAATCAGAAAGGTTGACAGTTCAAATCCCTAGTGCCGCATAGCGGAGTGAGCTCCCATTACTTGTCCCAGCTTCTGCCAACCTAGCAGTTCGAAAGCACGTAAAAAATGCAAGTAGAAAAATAGGAACCACCTTTGGTGGGAAGATAACAGCATTCCGTGAGCTGTTGGAATTTAATTATGCCAACCACATGACGACAGGGACATCTTCGGACAGTGCAGGCTCTTCAGCTTTGAAACGGAGATGAGCACTGCCCCCCTAGAGTCAGGAACGACTAGCACATATGTGTGAGAGGAACCTTTACCTTTACCTTTTACTGTTGTAAATGATAAAAAGTTACCACTGTTGATGCTTCTATTACACATTTTTCTATCGCTCTGAAGACTCCCGAAATCATACATTCTCAGTCTTCCCTCAGAATTTAACAGAAACATGGAGGCCACAGACTGATGGAAAGTGGTTGTGCAAGGAAGTTGAAAGCCATTCACACACAAACATCTTGGCCATCTTGGATGCACTTGCATAAGTATAAGTGCAAAAATATTGTATTCCCTCCATAAAAAATTCACTGACGTTTTTGTTTCCTTTGGAAAAAAATCCAAAAGCAAACACTTTTTTTTAATTG